TGTGCTTGCTGCAGAGAGACAGAGACAGTGACAGGAAAAGTGAACAATCACTTCCCAGGGGGGATAGCCACACTGAAATCCCTTCTTCTCCATTCTCTTCTCAGTACTTTGGGCCCGCACGCACATATGCCCAGCATGATTTTCAAGCTGCTGGGTCTGGGACTCAAACTACAGTTAGCCATGTGGGAGTCAACATCTGCACCACTATGCCACCTGCTGGACCCCACTCATGTCTCTTTTTTTTAAGGCACTAATCCCATTCATGAGTGCTCTACCCTCATGACCTAGTCAGCTCTCAAAGGCCTTATGTCCTACTACCACCACCTTTGGAGGTAGGATTTCAACACATGAATTTATGAATTTGCAGGAATACAAACGTTCATTCCACATCATTTACTGAATCAGAATCTGCATTTTTAAACAAGATCCCCAAGACATTAGCCTATACATTAAAGTTTGAGAGGCACTGTTGTAGAGTTTACAATCCATTTTCATAGACATCGTCTGGTAGATCTTCGCATTGATTCAAAATCTGGGTAAGCAGGAACAAGATTCTCTTGACCAATCTGTCTTCTTGTCAGAAAGGAGATCTAAAAACTGATAGGGTCATTGAACAGTTTCCTCCTGGCAAAGGGCAGTGTCTTCTACTCTACCTTCTGTTTTTAGGCCTGTTTAGCTATAAAGGCAGAGTGAGCTTTGTGTCAGAAATAAGGGAGGGTATGGAGAGACGATGGAGCGGAGCATAATAGTGGGTTCACAGCCTTAGGGATCCACTGCTCACACACCTATGCACATCCTATTCTCGCTATCTCAAGTAATTACCAATTTCAACAGGTGCCATTTATTCAAAAATAGGTCTTTGGGAAAATGAGACAATCATTGGAGTAAATGGATATATATCCCCCTTAGGAGTCATTTTGATTTCAGAAACGTTAAAATCTGAAACAGGTATGTTTCCAAATCAAGGAATTATGGTAAAGAGGTATGAAGTAGGGTTCAGAAAATAATCAGGAGAAATGGAGGTGATGGAGGACTGACCTGATCAAGTAACTGCAGGGACGACTGTTAAGAGTGGGTAAAATGGGAGAATGAATGAATGCGTCTGATGTAAAACAGAAAGAAGAGAAGGAATGTCTGCCTTACCAGAGACCTCATCATGCAGGCTGGAATGACATGACACTCGCAGTCGATGCTAAGAATGTTCCATAGCCATTAATACTTGAAAGATTTATTTTAAAAATAAAGGTTCTGGTTCTTTTATTTTACATAGGTGTTAGATAACCTTTCTTCTTCTTTGTTCTTTGTTTTACAGCCAGTCTTAAAGATTTAAAAATGCTGGTCATCTTAAAATCTATACTTCAAAAGTTGGAAAAATATTATCTGCATTACAAATGGATTCTTCGACTTTCAAAATAAGTAGTGTTTCTTTAAATGAAAAACGTCCCTTATGTGTTTCTAGGTCAATTAATATTTAGATGAGAAGAACGCTGTAGTTAAATTTAATTCAATAATCTTTGCTTCTCATCTATTTATATGCTAAAAAAACAAAGTTACAACGTTAAGATTCTCTTCCAGTGGGAGAATAAGAAAAAAGGAAACTATGAAATTTTAGTTTTTCAATGGGACTATAACTTAAATCATAAATATTTGATGGTCTCATCTTTTTAATAATATACTTGTCATGTAATAAAAGATATACCAGAATGGGTTAAATTCCAGAATATTCCTGAAATGATTTTATTGCATCAAACTTGATTGTTTTCCCCACTTACATAAAATGCTCCAATGGCTTTCCATTGATGTGAGGATAAAATTCAAATCTGGTCCCTCAGCACTGATCCAGGTGCCTCTCTCCCTATGTGGTCCTTCCCCAAACCAACATCTCAGCAGTGTGGTACTTCAAATTCCCTAATCAACCATGCCTTCTCCTGCCACTGTGCCTGTTCATGTGTTTATCCCATTGTCACCTTGGAGCACTTAATCTTCAGAGCCTTGTACAGTATCTTGGATGAGAAAGTACTTAATATTGCTGATGGACTCAGGGACTGAATGCAGGATATAAACCTACTCCATCTTTATAGAGTTAAAGATCTGTCTCTTTTGTTCTCCTAACTGGGGTATGCAGTATTTGGTTTCTGTATAAGAGGTGAGTATTGCCGTCAAAAGAATACTGGGCTAGGATGTGGGAGATTCCCAATTTCTTTTTAAGTTTATTTATTTCTTAAGAGAGATAGAGACAGTGACAGAGAGAGACAGCACTCCCAACAAGCTCTTAAGACCATAATCCACTCAAACTTTAGTCAGTACCTGATCAAGAGCATGCATGTGCTGAGTGTACTCAAGAAGGTCTCTGGACTAGAACTGGGAACCTTTCCATGTGGGTCAGCCTTGTAAAACATGGCCTTTTACTGCCATGTCACTGTCTGGCTCCAGATTTCCAGTTTTTAACCCTTGTTCATTGAGTAACCATGGATTAATCCTTGATCTTGTCTGAGTTCCTCATCCGTACAATGAACAACGGAGTTGATTCCCTGTCTCCGCCACCTTTAACTTAACTTTGTCTTCCCTATTAATTTTCTTGGTGGACTTTACTGCTCTCTGCCACCCTGGACCACTGACCATTTTTTTATGCTTCTTTTATTAAAAATTGTGTATGCATTAATCCCAACGACCTGTGAGACTGTCCATGGGAATGCAGCTCACAATACAGTCCACATTTTAGTCAAGGCTGGAAGGTAAACACAGATGGGCAACAGAGCAGCTCAAACAATCAAGCATTTTATTCATTAGGCCATCTGGTCATTCTTTGCAGTGTCTTTCTGTACAGTCATTAGGAAAGACACTTGAGAAGCTGTTAGTTCACAGCTGAGAGGTCTCCTTCCTAAAAGGTTGAGCACTGGTAAAATACTAATGTTTCAAAATGATATATTGTTAACATCATAGATGCTTTCCTCCTGTACTCTCATGATTGAAAATTTGGTCATTGATATTTTGGTTCATTTGAAATGATTATAGCTCTTTCTGTAGGTGTCTGACTTTCACTTGGCTAAGCTCTTCCTGGTATGGTTAATATCATTAGCAATAGATGCTAAAAAATGCAACTCAGCAGTGTGAGAAATAACATCAAATGTGCATCTTACAATCCCTGCTTCCCTTCTACAGTTTCTTCTGAATTTAACAACCGCGTACCTTTTTGTTCCCCTTTGATCACAGCTGTTTTGTGGGCTTGAAACCACCCCAGAAGCCCCCAAAATAGAATCCCCTCTTAGTTTTTCCACCTGCTGGTCATTCCCCAAAGATTTCTTGAGTCTAATTTACCAGCTGCTTTACCCACCTGCAACCCCGCTGATGAGGGCTCCAGCAGATTCCTCTCCTTGTGTCCTGCCCTGCTTGCCAACTTTCAACCTGTTTCCCCATCCAATTTCTCCACCCTAGAAAAACCTGGGCCAAGCCCATCTCTGAGATGAATCAACCAATTCAAAAATTCCATATCAAGTGTCCATAGCACTAGTTAGTACAGCGGGATAGTGAAAACAGAGTCATCTCTGGTTAGCAGGTTCCAATGGGAATTCCCAAGGTGTGGGCACTGTTAGAATCCTTTCCTAGGGATCCTGCAGATGGCATAATGGTTATGTCACTGGACTCCCATGTAGCCAACAGTCGTTTGAGTCACAGACCTGGTGGCTTGAAACTCATGTTGGGCCTCTGTGTGTGCATGCCCAAAATCCTGAGAGGAGAATGGAGGAGAAGAGATTGCAGTGTGGCCATCCCCCCTAGGGGGTGATTTCTCACCTTCTGTCTTTCTGTCTCTCCAGTGAGCACAAGCAACCCAGGGCAAAAGTCTCTAAAAAAAAAAAAAAAATCCTTCCCCAAGTAACCCTTAGACATTTCCTTTTACCTTTCCAATGACTGTTTCAACTTATTTTTCTTCCAAGGGAAAAAAAATTACAAGTGAATTTTCATTTCCCATTTATTTTGTTATTAAAAAGAAAAAGATAGAAAAAGGAGAGGATCCCTGTAAATGTAACTATGGATAAAAATAGCTTTGCTATCTTAAAGTCGTTAAGAAAACATAAAAGGGCTCTTTGTGATCTCGGGGTTCTGTAACCTGGCCTCTGTCACTGCTCCTCCATTCTCATCCAGAGACAAGACATTCAGAACAAGTTTTCATGCTTAACAGCACCTTGAGAGTGAGCATTCCCAGGTGCCCATCAGAGCTGTCACTCTCAACAGCTGTCGCTAAGTGACGACTTGTCCCTCCACCCTCTGTTGACTCCCATGTAGCCAACAGTCGTTTGAGTCACAGACCTGGTGGCTTGAAACTCATGTTGGGCCTCTGTGTGTGCATGCCCAAAATCCTGAGAGGAGAATGGAGGAGAAGAGATTGCAGTGTGGCCATCCCCCCTAGGGGGTGATTTCTCACCTTCTGTCTTTCTGTCTCTCCAGTGAGCACAAGCAACCCAGGGCAAAAGTCTCTAAAAAAAAAAAAAAGAATCCTTCCCCAAGTAACCCTTAGACATTTCCTTTTACCTTTCCAATGACTGTTTCAACTTATTTTTCTTCCAAGGGAAAAAAAATTACAAGTGAATTTTCATTTCCCATTTATTTTGTTATTAAAAAGAAAAAGATAGAAAAAGGAGAGGATCCCTGTAAATGTAACTATGGATAAAAATAGCTTTGCTATCTTAAAGTCGTTAAGAAAACATAAAAGGGCTCTTTGTGATCTCGGGGTTCTGTAACCTGGCCTCTGTCACTGCTCCTCCATTCTCATCCAGAGACAAGACATTCAGAACAAGTTTTCATGCTTAACAGCACCTTGAGAGTGAGCATTCCCAGGTGCCCATCAGAGCTGTCACTCTCAACAGCTGTCGCTAAGTGACGACTTGTCCCTCCACCCTCTGTTGCTTTCTGCATAAACAGCCCACAGAGTTGTTCCAGGACAGTCTTCCAAGGCTGGATGTGCTATGGCCCTGTCTGTCTAAACATCGAGTCACTCTCACCTGGCTTTACTGTGTCCGTTCCAGCATTCCTCCTCATTGGACGTGCCCGCAGTCACACTCTCATCCTTGCAGATGGTGTAGGGCAATGCCGACCAGACCTTTTTAGACAGCTTCAATTTCTCCTTTATGTCTGTGACCTGATCAAAAAACCAAGGAAAGTGAGTGACTATCGTCCCCAGGTTGTGTCCATTTCTGTACAAGGATGTTATGCAGGTGGAGGTTACAGAACCTGGCACGTGAAGAGCACAAACCCTTTGTGAGTTTTAAGAGAGAAACATCATGCTATAGGGTTTACTGCCCTGGAATGCTTCTCTTCCTCCTCCCCTCAATCCTTCTCTAGCTTCTGGTACAGCTTGCAGGTAATTGACTTGTTAGTTTCTATCTTTTCTGTCCTTCCATCTTTGAATTAAAAACTTAGGAAGCATCTTACCCGACTTCAGGTCCTATTCCTGTTGAGCATCTTTATGGCGAACACCCCTAGGTATCTATTTTATAATGAATTTGCCTAGGTATTAGAACCATGCACAGAAACATGCACCAGGAGATGAAAGACTTTCCTCGACAGACTATGTATTTCTACAAGAAATAAATATTGTTGCAAATTCTGGTGCTGGTAACCTCTATTCTAGTACAATAGACAGGTCCATACACCACACGCTTGGATGGTGAGCAGTAAATTGGATCCACTTAAAAGCCCTAAGCACCAGGACTAGAGTCTAACTACGGGTAAGTGTGAAATTCGCAGCTATGGATGGATGGTCAGGGAAAGCTTAGGATGGGCATCTGCAGTATTTCAGGCTCAGCACTGACTTCTTACCTGTGGAAAGGGTAGGGGAGAGATTCAGCATCATCTGGGCTACATAGCGAACACCTAGGTCATACAATCACAGCCCTGATTTCCAGTTCTGTGCATGTGAACTTTTGGAATGTTCACAAAGAGTTGTAATACATTTGGGTTGAAGGAAGGTGACTGAGGAGATACAGGGAGAAGATGTCCATCGACAAGTCATTCAAGAGGCCTGCCATAGATCCTTCTCTCACGGACTCAGAAAGAACCAGCCCTGCTGACACCTTGACTTTCGGATGGCCAGACTCCAGACTGTGGGTCCATACGTTTCTGCTCTTTAAGTCCTTCAATTTGTGGTGTTTCATTGTGACAGCCATAGACAACTAAACTAGATGCAATATGTTTGGTAAACATTGAACGGGGAGCAGGTTATCAACACGACGTTAAAGTACTTCCCATGGATGACTTAATAATTACAAAAGGAAACCCGGAAATTTTACAGTGCAGAAAACTGACAGGCCTTCACCTGCACCAAGTGATCCGATTATTGGGACAAATAGATATTGTGTACCTCCTGATGCAATATGCCGTGAAGGACAAAATATCTGGGCAGTCAAAAAAATGCAAATTATGAGGATATTCAGAGAAACCCAAACTGAGGGACATTCCAATAAACGAGCCTGGACTATATACAAATGTCAGTCATAAGAAATAAAGGAGAAAAAGGCCAAAGAGGCTGAAGAATTCTTCCAGAGTAAGTGTAAAAGACGTGATTTCCAAACACTGCACAGGATTCTGGACTGAATGCTAGGTCAGAAAAATGAGTGTCAGAGCAGACATTGAGAGAGGGGGCAAAGTTGTATACTCACTGTCTGCTGGATAATAGGCGTGTATCAGTGATAAATCTCATGACTATGAAATCAAGGATGTAAGAGAGTGTCACATTCTTTGAAAATACACACTGGAGTATTTAGAATTAAAGGGCTATGACTTTTACAACCTACTCTTGAATGGTTCAGCAACAATCAGCATCGTCATAACTATATATATGTATAGAGAAAGAGTAAATGTGGCAAATTGTTCTTAACTGATGAAGATGGAGAATATATGATTTTTCCAAATAACACAATTTTCAACAAATGTGATTTTTTTTCCAAAATAAAACAAGAGGAACAATAATAATAATAAAAAAATACTCTTAATTTCATTTGTTCCGCATGGTGTCCACCTTGGTGTTTCTAACTTTGCATTAGGGCTATCACCCCCAAGCCACTCATTCTTACCTTTTCAGTACAACCTCCAGGGAATAAAATAGACATTACATATTTATATCTTTTCCAGAAAATGAATGCCATCATCTTCAGGACTGTAATACTGTCAGGCCTATTCTGCCCCATAGTAAAACACACCAAGAATGAGCATTCCCTTTCCTGCTTATTTCATGTGAAAATTCCACTTTCATGCTGTGAGAATTGAAACTAGATATACATATATGAGAGTTGGAGAAAGAATAAAATTGCATGATATCCCCATAGGCATCTCCTTTTTTAATATTCAATGTAACCATGAATATGTGCCTTTATTTATTTATTTATTTATTTATTTTGGAGTTGTAATAGAGCACTTTTCACTTGCTTGAGATAGAGTGAGAGAGATAGAGAGGGAACATGAGGAAGCACCACCCAGGAGAGGTGGGTTCACTGCAATCCCTTCTCCTCCATTCTCTTGGGATTTGGGGCATGCAAGCACATGTGCGCACTGTATCTTTCAAGCCACTAGGTCTAGGACTCAAACCATACACTTGGCCAGGTGGGATCCAGCCATCTTAATCACCACTTCACCAGCTGGCCTGTCACTCATTCTTTAACTCAAACTTAAGCACTGTTTCCTTCCAAGTCTATTCTCTGGCCACATGTTAGATCAAGACTCATCTTCCTGCATTGCATGGTGCCCACTTCACAACTCTAACCATGGATCAACCTCTAATAACTGACTTCTCTGACTGTCGTGTAGACTGCAGGCTTCATGACAGCAGAGATAGGGTTATGATTTGTTTTTATCCTCAGTGCTTATTATGGGTTGAGTGATCAACTGTCTTCGTTTGTCTGGGACTCAGGGAATTACAGGACGCCAAAGTTTTAGCAGTAAAACTGGAAAGTTGAGTAAACCGGTGTGGGTGGTTAACATAGGTCTCAGCACACTGGAGGTGCTCAGTAAACGATGATGAAGATAGTGGGCTTCGTTGGCCCATCTCTTCTATTCACAGACAATATCGCTACCTCTAAACAGTTGAGGTCATGACAAATGTGTCCACCCAAAAGACTGGGAGGTGATCTGAAGCTGGACTTGGACGTCAAAGTGCCTCTCACTATGTTGGGTATGGGGGTCCCCTCTCTTCTTCATCCCAGAGCATTTATAATCAGGATGTGTTTGCTCTGGCGTTTTGGTAGCTGTGTGCTTTCCTTGTGCAACTGAAGGAGACAGCAGCAAAGGGGCAGTGAGAGATGTAAATGCTGCTTTAGCATTCTGCACGGACACTGGCCAAATCACCTCCAGACTGTGATGGTGAGGCAGACAGCTGAAAAACTGGATACCATTAGCCACTGGAAAAGAACATGTTTTAGATTCTAACGTATGTCTGCATTGATTGCAGTTTATTCTCCATTATCAGGAAGAGCTTTTCATTTCTCAAGCTATTTAGAAATATATTCTCATTTTATTTATTTTGCTTATTTTTAGATAATGTATGTAATGGCTTTGCTGTAGCTGCAGTTTCATTTTTTTTTTCTAGAAACTTTAGTGAGCTAAGCTTTATGTTAACAAGCATGCTTAGTACAAATACATTACTGATGATAACGGTGAACCCTAATTCATCAATAAACCTGATAGAGACAAAGACTTGGGGTCAAAGGCAAACTGTATAACAATTTCCTTTCTCTGCTAGCCTGGTGAGCTATTCTAGGACAAATGAACCCTCACTCAATACTTGCAAATTGTATTTACCATTGGTCCAATGTTACATTCTCATACTATAGTATTAGAAATAGAAATAGGTAAGTATTATTATTATTTTTAATCTATGCTATTGGACAGATTCTAAGAGTTAAACAACCTTTGTTATGCCATGAGAAGAATATATCCTGTTGGGGTTCACAGGGAAAATGTGAGCTCTTTTTTAGGACTTACCTGGAGTTTGTTCTGATTTCTGAAGTATCAACTATTGGCTTCAGAAAACATGCAGCCTCAGCTAAAGTCCTGTCAAAAGGCAGACCTTGACTATGGGAAGACAGCATCACCAGTGTCATACCTATCCTTACAGATTGTAAAATTGGACAAAAGAGGAAGTCGACAAGGTGGAATGATCGCTAAAAGCAAAGAAATTAGCAGAAACAAAGAGCTGAAAGAATTCTCCATGCACTCCTGTCTGACTTCAGCTAAGTAGTGCCTTAAATGTTTAACCTCAATCTTAGCAAGTTTCTGACTTCACAAACTTGGATTTCTTTTATTTCAGTCAAGGGAAGCCCAAATAAATGACAAAACAACAGAGCAGACATAATATTTCTCTTACTCTTGATTCATCTGCAAGATTACAAAGTAAAAGATGCTTTGTTTTATCTTTATCTCATCCTTCAAAAGTTTCTATTTTGCATACATTCCATAAGGTGTGGACTACATTAACTCAGTAGCGCTTATATATGATTTATACATAAATAATTATAAGTTCCCTGAGTGTCTAAGATCCTGACTTTCGTGCTGATAGTAGTACAAAACAAAAAACAAAAAACAAAATGGAAATCACTAGTCTATTGTTCAGTGACTCACATAAGATATTTTGACTTAGCAAGTAAAGAAAGATTCAGTAATTGTCAGTGAAGTCAATTCAATGAGACAAGGAGTTGTAATGTAATTTAGGAAGAGTTCCAATACATTGGTTAAATAAGAAGAAAAGATTTCTGTTGCTGGTATTCTTTCATTAAACACCTATTATGTATCTTTCACTAGTCAGGTTTTATGTTAGACTCTGGCAACATAAATATGACTAGCACACAGTTGCTACCCTGAAGGGTTCATAGCTGTACTGTCTAGTATGGAGCAACATTATATTCATGGGTGAGCCACGGGCAACGTGAGCTCTGATTTCAATTTGTCTGGAAATTTCCTTCCCGGGGAACACCATATTCCCTCTCAAGCAAATAAATCTTGGCTGATATTTGCTGTTTGTAACCACTGACCTCTGTCATGGAAATTATTAGAAAACAGCATAATTAGTGATTTATATCCAGAGGGATTAAACAAAAATGCAGCATATCCTTTCAACTTTCCACCCCTCAAGAATGGGCTGGTTTATCC